GAGCCGGGACGCGCGGGTTAATTGCCAGCTCTGAGGAGCTTCTCTCGGAGAGGTTCATCTTTCGCGTTCCTCTTAAGCGCGGCGTCTCGGCTTCTCTGTCCAAGCTGTCTCCAAAGCTCAGCGTCTCGGCTTCTCCGTGCCAGGGGTCTTGTGCTTTGTCTGTTGCCATCAGATTTCTGAGGCTCGGGTACAATGAGCTGCTTGTCAGGCCAGGCACGACTGCAGTAGCAGCAATTTCAAAAGGCAGGAAGCGTCCGCAGGAGCGGTCTGTAAAGAATCCGAGCCCGTGGAGTCGCTGGGTTGAACCTCTCGCTGGCTGCCGTGCCGATTCCCATCTTGGGGGTGCTTGGTAGTGCAGTCACACCATCCTTGGCAGCGGGCAGCTCCTGAGCACGCAGGGTTTCCCTGCTTGGGATGCTCGCTGGAGCAGCAATGCTGCAGACCCTTTGGCATTTTCTGTCTAGCTTCCTTCCCAGGGCCGTATGCCAAGGTCCTGCAGATGAAAAAGAGGATGAGGCCAGAAACACCACCCCACTTCCAGGCCCCGGGGAGAAAGGGCCAAAGATGTTGGGGAAGCCACAGGACAGAGGGACTGACCCCACTGAAAGGAGACCAACTATCCTACTGGTGGTTGGACCCGCAGAGCATTTTCCAAAGGTAACGGGACATCCAGGGGCCTGAGGAGGGGTTGGCGCACACGACGGCGGAGTGTGTGGTCTGCCGGGAGTAGGGGTGTTGCAGGTGGAGTGTGCGAGCAGCTGGGGGGGGGATGTGTATGTATTTGGGGAGGGGGGAGAGGAGCAGGAAAATGGAGCAGGGTCCAATGTGTGTGCTTGCTGGAAGGGAAATGTGGGGGGACCGGGTGGATGACTGTAGAGAGGAGGTGATCTAACCTTTTGGACATGATGTTCAAGGGGTGGGGGGGGAAAACACCGTTCAGGGGCAAGGGGGAATACGGGGGGTCTCGAAGGTTCCTGGACACCTCGGTAAGAAGCATGACTAAGAGGGCAGGGAATGATAATGCAGGTTAGTGGCAAATCCCACCCCTGCACTGGAGGCCAGCAAAGGATCAAATAGATCCTAAAATGTTCCGGACTCAGTCTCTGGTAATTTGGCAAGAAAACTAGCGTGTTTTGAACAAATGAGTAACCGGCTGTGTTCTTTGAATGGCACAGCCCGGAAGAGAGTAAAGCCTGTCCCCGGGGAGCGGGTGGCATAAGGGAGAGACTAAAACCTGCGTGAGGATGGGAACTTCCCGGGGGGTGGGAGAGCGGGGAGGTGGTGGGTGTGCGCAATTGGTGGAGAATAAATGGTGAAGCTTTGTCTGGGGGGAGGCGAACAAAAGCTGCTTAGTTCAGTGCCTGGGCTCCCAGCACAGTGCTGGCTGACTGCAATTCTGGTTTATTTTTGTTGGGGAGGGAATGCTCTCCCATCTCTCCTGGGGATGGTGCAGTCAGCTCTGACTACATGTGGCTCAAGACCAAGGGTGTGACCTGGGATTAGGGGAGAAGGAGTCGGGCATAACCCCTGCTTATGGGTGGGAGCTTGGGATAATACTGAAGAGCTGCAGCAGGGATAGGGTGCATGACTTGCAGGATCCAGCTTATTTGACAGGGAATCAGGCACGGTTGTTGCTGTAAGCTTTCTCTCTAAAATGGGGCACGAACAGGTTTAAGTTGTAGAAGGGATTAATATCTGTTCTGCTGCCGTTTTGAATGGAAATAGGCAGGGTGGCATTTTGCATTCTGGGGAGCAAAAGCCACTCCCTGCTTGAATCAGGCTGAAAAATCTGCAGGGATTTTTGCCTTCATCCCTATCGCTAGCAGTTAACGTTGTGCATCCTCTTCAAAAAGGAGTGTGCACTTTTTGAGAAGAGAAACACTTTTATGCACAGAGGTTGAAGGACAGAGGTTCAGAACTGAAGGAGGTTGTGATGAAAACCTTGGAAGAGTAGGGCCAAAAATCTCTGCTGTCTTGCAGGGAACAATGGTCCCTCAGTCAGGGAGAGTCCATCTGTTCACACCTGCAAGTGAAGCTTTCTCTGAAAGCTGATACCAATCTCCTCTTTCCTGTGTGACCCTGGGAAGTTTTGCTGCATAGGAACCCTAAAACTGGCTAATGGAGAAATATCTAGAGGATGAGGATGTGGTAAAGTGAGTTATTGCAGCTTAGGAAGTAACTGCCCATCTGCTAGGAGGCTGTGACTGTGTAATTTTAGCCTGCCCTGATTGTAAAGTAAAACGCAGTGTAAAGCTCTTCTATTGAGGATTATGCAGATATGTTTTACCTTGTGATTCAGGACGGCTAATACTGCATTCAGCCATCGTGGCTCAGCTGATGGACAGTAACTCGCTAAGCTGCAATGACTTGTTTGTGCTTGATCAGATATCTGTGTTCTAATTAGGTGTCTGAGGAAGAAGTGTTGCAAAAAGTCTTGTACAGCCTTAGGCATAGATTATAAACCACTGTGAGCAAACGGTATCATTTGGTGTTTAATGAAAGAGTGGGGGACACATGACTTTCGTTCTCTGTCACTGATTGTCTGTGACCTTGGGAGAAGTCTTTTGGCTGGTGGGCTGCTTTGTTTTTTAAAAACACTTGTAACTACCCATCTGCTGAAACCAGGCAAAATATCATGCCGGATACTGGGATTACTGTAAGGAATTGACTGGAATCGATAAACTTGACTGGAGGTGCTTCCTGGCCCTGGTTCTTCAATCTTCATGTTGTGATTGGCGTGTTTTTGCTCAGAGCCTTGCTTGAAGGTAGCGATTTCAACATGAGGCTGATTCTGCAAATGTGGGAGAAAATACTGATTACAAATGTGATGTGTTGGCCCCTGGGTGTGTGTACACAGGAGAGAGGTATGATCTGCCCCTGATGTCACCATCTGGACTTGTAACTTTGGATCCGTGTGTTGTCAGTGGAACAGGTCACCTTTCCTGGTTACCTTTATGTCAAATACCATGTAGTGTTGTCTGCCTTCCCCGGTCCCTATCCTTCCCCTTGCGCAGCCTTGGCTGGCTGCAGCACTTTCCTCTGCTGGGGTCTCTTAAATGATTAACTCCCATCCTTCATACACTTTATGCTCTTTGTTTGTGCTTTGTGAGGACTTTCTGTACTGTACAATTAATTATAAGCTAGTTTCCAGAAACTGAAGAATATCGAGTCAGCAGAACCTGGTGAAAACTTCGAGCCATAGCGGTTCTCTCTCTGGCCCACGGTGTGCTCACCAGAAAGCTGTTTTGCCTGTGAAGGAGGATGTTAGTTATGTGGCTGTGACGCTCACTGGCACTTGATATTTTTAGAGACTACTTTTTTAGCAAAGTAAATTCAAAATTAAACAGCATACTTTCCTGCTCCTTGTATGGCTGCATCCTCCCATCCTTTGGGAGGTACCTTCTGGAGCTGATGTAGTAAACCAGTGATGAAGCAGATGCCTAGAAGAGTACAAATGACTTTGAAAGGTTAGCCTTGGAATGGCAGGGTATTGAAACTGGCAACTCATGCAGCATCTAAATGAGAACCAAATCCTATAAATAAAATGAAAATGAGTTTGCAGCTTCCTTGGTGGCAAGACAAGTGAGCCTTCCGTAGAAGGAAGACAGATCCATCTAGTGCTCCCTTTAGCAGAGGAGGGTATTAGCTAGGCTGGCTTCACATCGACCACAAATGTCCAGCTCTGGCTTCACTGGCAGAATTGGTGGATAGAAGATGTATCAGGGAGGAGTGACTCGAAAGGATTGACTTTATTTGGAGCTCTGTGCCCTGTCCTTGGTTTGATCAGGAATAGACAGTGCTAACGAGGGATGTACTGTCCGCAGCTCTTGGCTGAAGCCCTGGGGTGGGTGTGCTGCTGCCTGCAGTGGCAGGGACTGGGGGAGCGGGCCTGGCTGTGTGTGCTGAGTTGAGTGGTGACCCCATACTAGTTGTGTTCCAGCAGCACTGATCCCTGCAGCTTTGGAGAGCTGTCGTGCTTTTGAGTACTTCCAGGTTTACCAGGGTTTTTTTAGGTGAAATCTAAAAGCTTGTTAATGCTTATTTAACCTCCCTTTGTCATTATAACCAGAATTGCTGGTATAAACTTCATTGTAATCTGTCTCTCCTTCTTAGCTCGCTGTCCTGTAATTAATGCCCTGCTTAAAATCAGCTTTCTTAACCTCATTACCTTTCTCCTTTCCTCTGACGTAGGTAGTTGGGCTTTTTTTCCCGAAAATGTGCAGATTTTGCCTTTTGTCCCTAGCAGCCAACTCCAGACAGAGTTTATTAGGAAAATCTGCATCACGTTGGCATAGCAACTGAGCTGCCAAGCAGCTATAATAGTGATGCTTGGCAACTCGTGGGAAGGACTACGGAGGATCCTAAGGCTTGGTGGGGCAAATGGAAGTTACATTTGTTCATTTCCTAGCTGGAGCTGGGGGGCAGCTGCTCGCCTTGGCCAGGCTGCTGAAGGTGTTTGCTTTTGGCCGTGGTGTGTGGCGTTAGGGGGCGGCTTGCAGCGAGACGCGGCTTGGTGGGAAGGCTGGGGTGTGCTGTTGGCGTGCATGTAGGGAGCTGCTGCCGCTGATCTTTAAGAGGATCTGGAGTGCCTGAGAAGATCCTGTTTTCGTGCGGAGAGACGTCAGCAGGGAGTAGGTTAAGCCTGGTTAGGTAACATGGCAGTAGTGCCATGGTAGGTGAGGTGCCTGGGGGAGGGCGTAGGAAACCATTGCAGGTCATGATTCTCAAGGGTACCAAATTGCTGTGAGTCATGATCTATTAAGCTTTTTTTTTTAAAAAAAAAAAATTCTTGAAATAAAGCCCCAGATTAAATATACCCAATTTGTGTGATGGACATGCAGCTGCACAAACAGCTTGTTACAGACCTTGGCTTTTCTTTAAAGAACAAAATACCGTGGTAAAGACGTAAAGGCCCCTTGTGCATTAGGATCTGAGGAGGGGAATGCTTATTGGACTTTGCACTGGCCAGGCAGTCTGTTTAAACAGAGCAAACACAAGAAAATGTTGCTGTGTCTGCAGTGGTGGGGAAAGCTGTTAGCTGGACTGGCTTAAACCAGTGTAGCAAACGTTGTGTTACATGAAGTGCAGGCAGGATTATAGTGTTTTGGTTATTGGCTATGGCTTTTTGCATCTTCCTTGTAGGATAGCTTCTCTCTGATGAATGTTGGCTATAACTTTATTTTAAAATTCATGTTAGCAATTAGTAATTCTGTGCTGAGTAGTATTGTTACCTGCTGCACTTCTTCAGTACTCTTGCTGTAGCACTAGGTGTTATCCCTTACATCAAACTCCACTAAATGCTCAGAAGCCTATAATTATGTCCACATTAAATGATGCATGTGCCATACTCCCTCTTCAGCCTGGCTTGCTCCTGATGAAAGCTCAGGAACTCGCTTACAAGTTGATTGAACTGTAAATGGTAGAAACTGGAAAATGTTGTTCTGCCTGGGCCACTTCTGACTACAGCGCATCTCCCCCACTGCAATGTTTAATTGGTTGGAAGAGGAGGAAAAACTATTAAGCTGGCGTAACTGCTGTGTGGTTACTTAGCTGGGAGGCTTTGAAGCAGCTGGGTCTGTTTTGAAGCCTACCCATGATTTCGGTGGTTTTCTGGGTATTCGGCACAATGACAAACCTTCCCCAGGCTTTAGAGCTGCCTGTGTTAGTACTCCGGGGTGCTGCAGAGGAGGGAGATCTTGGCGTGCAGGGGTTGCCTGCTCCTAGCTGGCACAAGTGTTTTTGGGAGAACTTGCAGCCAAAGCCGATCAACTCTGGCATAGATAAGTAACCTTGTGAAAGTGGAATTTCAAGGCTTTTACTTAAGCTGGATATCCCAAACATGTATGAAAGCAGTAACTAACTGGCATCCTGCTCTTCCTGTGTTCTGGAGGAAGAATTTTTGGGAGGAGGAAGACAGTGAGAGTTGTCCTGTATTGTATGATGGGAGAGGTTATGGTCAAGACTGGGCCCTACTTGTGCTGTGCGTGTGAACCCTGGAGGGGTGAGAACGGGATCAGAAAGGATCGGATGTAAGGAACAGCAAGTGAGCGTCTTGGATGTTGGCCAAAGCCTCTTGGGTTAAAAGACGCGCCCAGTAAGAGTTAACTTGTGGGGAGTGTGATGTAAGGGCCCTGGGCTTAATGGGAGCCTGGGGTTGAGCAATGGGAGGCCGCTCACATGCCTCCTCCTGATCCGCCGGCGGCTGGGTGGGACTGTACAGCCACCGCTTCCCTTTTAAGTAGAAGGGCAGGGCTTGTTGCGGCCATACCGCCGGAGCCGGCGCGCTCATAGCCATGTGTCATGAGACTCGCTGGCATTTCCTTTCCACTACGCGCTGAAATTAGCTCAGGGGAGTCATTCCGCTTTACTCCTCTTCCTGGTCGGACTGAGCAGGGCAGCCGAGTCTCCCGCTCAGAAAGATGCTCTGCCTCTGTCTGCATGTGCCGGTGTTCGGGGAGTCGCAGACGGAGTTTGAATACTTTGAGTCGAAGGGGCTGCCGGCTGAACTCAAGTCCATCTTCCGACTTAGCCTCTTCATTCCTTCCCAGGAGTTCTCCACCTACCGCCAGTGGAAGCAGGTACGGCCCGAGGGAGGAACAGGGGGATCGAGTGAGTTGTGGAGGGCTGGTCTCCAGCACCCCGAGTGGCTGGTTGGAGGGGGAGAACTTCATGACGGCTCTGTCGTAATAGCTGGGTACAGCGTGGACACGTTTCCCTTGGCAGGGGTTGCCGAGGCAGCGTGGAGGGGACTTTTTTCTTTTTGATTCTTTTGGCTTTAGTCTGATGAGATCTCGGTGCTTCTAAGACTATTTAAACCAGTTACTTGATGCAAGTTAAATAGAAAAAGGGATTTTCCAGACTATGGATTCTTCTGCTTTAACTGGTCCGTGTAGCTATGTTTCACATCCTCTTCCTTTTCCTTCTTACACCCTTCGGCCTGCCCCCCTTCTGACAGGAGGTGTGTAATCTAATGTCAGCGCCAGCCAACGCAGGTCTCACCCCGGTGAAGGGGAGCAGGTTTGTGCCATGAGCTGGAGAGCAGCTCAGCAGCGGTGGGAGGGCAGAGCCGGGGCAGGTTGTGCAAGAACATTTCCCTCTGCTGCGGAAGGGAGATGCACTAAATCCCCAGCGTGCTCCGTCCGGGGCTCTATCACAGCCCTTGCTTTCAGCTTGCTGTTACTGGTGTGATTTTTTTCATAACCAGGCTGTCAAGAGCCCAGACGGCTGATGACGGAGCAGCAAAGCTGGGTCGGCGTTTGTACCTTCGGGCAGACCCACAAGCGGGGGCTGTCGCAGGCATTAAGACGTGCGGGGTGCCGAAGCGTGCCGCAGGCACAGCGTGTCGTGCAGGCGACCACAAAAACGTCTGTAGCCAGCATAGCTGTTAGTGACCGGTTCTGTCTGTGGAGACTTTGCAGTTGCTGTTAAAGGCAAAGAGCTGCAGGCGGATGCCTGTTCCTACCTCTGGAGAAGATGCTGGGAGCTTGGCTTTCTCACCCTTCACGCCTTGTGCTGTGGGTTACTGTTCAGCGGGCTCGCGGCGTTGCTGCGGGGTGGTGGAGGAGGGCGGTTCGCGGAGCAAGGCAGAGCAAGGCAGCTCTTGTTACCTGCGGTCTCCGCGCACTCATGGCGCATCTCTGCGGTTGTTAGGGGCGTGCTGAGAGCGCGGGAGCAGTTGCACAGTCACATCTCATGCAGCGCCTTTGAATTATTAGTGCCTGTCAAGTGGTTGGGGCTTGCCGGCCAGAGGGAAGCCCTGATTCAGCTGTTCAAGGCCAATCTGCTGACATGTGAGGGGTGTTGGTCTATCTTTAGCCTCAAGTTTAATGTGGGGTCATATCTGAACTTTACAAGAGTCATATGATAAACGGCAGGTTAAGAATGCTGGGCGTACCTCAAAGGTCAGGGCAGCTGGGACAGCACTTTCTTATTTAAGGTTCGTAAAACGATTAGGATAATCCTCATAGCAGTAGGGCTAAAGTGACAGGACTTGGTGGGGTGAGAAAGAGAGAGAGTTTTAATAGTGAAGTATTTAGTATTGAAGTCGTTTAAAATGGCATTGAAACAGGGGCTTCAGGCTTATGAAGGGGACTGGTGCCCATAGGTTGAGGAAATAATCACAATAAGCTTAGGTTTGCCTATTACCTTTGAAACATAAATATTGAACAAAATATTGGCGAACAGAGGGTTAGCCTAGTGTTTGATCTCAGCTCAGAGCTTCCTTAAGAGCCCACCTGCTGTTCACATAAATGTTACAAGAATTAAAACAAAAATTTGTGTGGTGCAGTAGACTGAATCACACCTTGTTTAGTGTTGCTCACTGGTTTGTGTCGAAAAAAGACCTGTAGGCTGTCAAAGGCAAGTGACTGAACAAGAAGGGGAGTAGGAACTCCCTGAGCCACATTCTTGCAGTCTGGAGATCCCATCTCCTGTCAACAAGTAGCCACGTGCCCTTAGATAGGGCAGTCCATCTGCTATTGCCCCATGCTGGAGTGAGTTAATTAGTCGTTTACTTTGTCCTAGTTGTCTGGCACAGAGTCTGATCTTGATTTTAGCTTTCTCCTACTAAGAACCTTTTCTTGTTCTATATGCATCTCATGGAAACTTGTATAATTAAAGCACATAGCTTCAGGGTGCCTAAACCAGTTCATAGGGGTTTTTATCTTTGGCTGTGTCCACCTGAGCTGGGCAGGATTTTTCTGGTCGGCGTTAGTTAATGCCAGAGGGAGCTTACTTCTCTAAGGATCATAGCAGGCATGAAATTCCTTCTCCTGTTCAGGTTCTTTTTATTACCTGAAGTTTTGTGATTCACTTTTTATGCAAATCTGTTGCCTCATATTAGTTCAAGAGCCTCCACAAGGGCTTTGTAAGGTGTTAATCAAGATACGGGACTGAGATTAGGCACATGATACTGGCAGAATATCCCTGATAAAGGCATGAGGCACTTCATCTGCGTAACTAACTTTGGGAGGCAGTTGCTTGGAATCAGGTGAGTCTTCTGCACTGCTGCTTTGCTCAGATTTCTTTGAGGAATTATTGTAATTCTGTCAGCTACTTTCTGGAGCAAAAGCCAAAGTTGTATAGGAAATGATCTTTTAAGTATGGTAGAAGGGGCATATCTTTCTGAATGAACAAAGGAACCGACAGTTTTTGATTGTTTTCTGAACAGAAAATTGTGAAGGCTGGAGACAAGGACCTGGATGGACAGCTGGATTTTGAGGAATTTGTTCACTATCTCCAAGATCATGAAAAGAAGCTGAGACTGGTCTTCAAGAGTCTGGATAAGAAAAATGATGGTAAGCACCTTTCTCATGCTCATGAATAGATTACTGCACGTGTTAGCTTGTAATACATGTACCTGAGCTCACGGGCTTACCTTTGCAGGCCGTATTGATGCCCAGGAGATTGTACAGTCTCTTCGGGACCTGGGAGTCAAGATCTCTGAACAGCAGGCTGAGAAAATACTGAAGAGGTGAGGATTCAGCTGGTTCTTCTGTTTCCTGTTGAGGGGGTTAGAAGGAAATGTAGGGACATGGAACCCGTCTCCTCTTTCTACCCTGTACACACTTTCCAGAGACTTCACCTCTTCCCATTTTGCCTATGACTCTTCATTTTGATTTTTTTTTTTTTTCCCATGAATTGACACTTCCAAGGTCATAATGCATCGTGGATAATTACTGTCAGAATCTCTTACCTTCCTGGCTTGTGGGGAAGCGCTTGCACCTGAGCTGATTTGCATCCCTGTCTGATTGTCCTGCTGCCCTGAGCTTGCTGCTTTGTAGAGGGACTGTGCAGTTGCTCTTCGGAAATGCCGAGCGCTTTATGCATGTGGCACTAACATGTTAACAACCACTTATTTGTGCTGTTTTTTCCTTTTTCTTTCCTCTGCTACCTTCCCTCTGTCTGTTTGCCTGTGTGTCAGAATAAGGACGGGACACTTCTGGGGTCCTGTCACCTAGTAAGTATTATTTTCCCTTCAGTGTCAGTTATGTCCCAAAGTTTGGTAGGAGGGGGTGCAACTGCTCCTGTGGGTCAGTTGAAGGGGAGAGAGAGAGGGAGGGAAAAGGGCACCCACTTCTACCTCTCTGCAGTGTTTGGTGAACAGAATATTTCCTAGCTTTGTCTTGTGTCTCTTTAGAAGTCTTTTAGTAGTTGCTTTGCAAAGCTTTTGTTGGTGTAGGCCTGAATAATTAAAGGGAAGGGGAGGAGGAATTTGTCACCCAGTAGGAGTCTGTACTCATCTAATGATGAATCTTTTCAGCATGGATAAAAATGGGACAATGACAATTGACTGGAATGAGTGGCGAGACTATCACCTGCTGCACCCCGTGGAGAACATTCCTGAAATCATCCTGTACTGGAAGCACTCCACGGTAAGAAATGGTTCCTCAGACCAACAGGTCTTGATCTTTCCCCAGCTTCACAGTCAGAGCCCTGACCCCCAGGAGCTGCTATCGGCAGTTCCTATCTTCCTCTTCACGGTTCGGTAGCTGCCTTGCAGCCCTAGAAACGCAATTGCTTCCTGCCCTGTCCTGTTATCTTGCCACTTATCACTGGCACACCTTCTGAAGCCTCTGGCACAGATGATAACAACTGCACATGCTGCAAGAAGATGAGGGTGTTCACTTGGCATGAACCTCTGAGAGCTCATACCGGTCGCCAGCTCCTACCGGTTCAGGACCTGTTGAGACTAGAAACCGCTTTGACAGGCAGCCGTCCTTCCTGGAGGTATTTCGGTGTGTGTATGTAACGAGATTAAACTGGCTGTGAGCTTGGGAGGTTCTGGAGAGGTCCAGCTTTTTCACCATGCAGCTGCCCACAGTTGGTCATTTTGTTCCTTACTACGATCCACAGTATCTTAGTGCTGACTAATGTTC